CCCCCCCCCCCCCCCACAAAAAAAAAACTACTCTTTACACGAATTGCGCCGATTTGCGCCCCCCGCTTTAATGCGAAACACCAATTATCGAAGTATAATGTGTTTATTTTCTTTTATAAAAGTCCGCTGACCATTGAAGTCGAGTCGGTTGTACAGACAAAATTGAAACGAACAGAGAAAAATGCGCAACGCTATAATAGCGAAGCGATACGGAATAAACACCGAATAGTCTCTACACGTTCTATACGTGTTTTTTGGTTATTTTCGTCATCGTAAAATTAACTTTATCCCCATTATCAAACACGTAATCTGTCAACGTCGGTATTCGACACAGACTGGCGACGCTGTTGCGCGCGGTATGTACGTACACGGTACACGTTTGCAATATATTTGATTTTGAACCACGGTGATTGTCCGTTATCGAGGGGCGTTGGTGAAAATTATTACTGTCCGTATCCGCAATAGAAAGAGTCCGTGATTATAGACAGGTCGAAACACGTTGGAATGCCCATCTTATCGCCGGGACCTTATTCTATTTTGTCCGTCAAGACCGGTTTCGCTGTAATATGCGTCGTGTTAGATTTTGTTTTTAGTTCTGTGTCAATTTATACTATTCGTGTATTCGTATTTATCTCTTCAAAGGTACCTGCTATTAATCTGCTATTAGTCTTGTGACCATTTTTTTTTATTTTCAATTCATACGAGTACGATCGATGTGCATTATAATTAGCAGAGCTGACGATTTGCGGAGCCCGAAGCTGAGACCAATCGAATGAGGACTTTAACAAAGTAAATCCAAAACGAGTAGAGCGACCAACTCTATACATAATTCGGCGTAACGATTATAATGCAATTCCGTCTACTAATAGACACCGAACAAAATAGTGATAGTCACTTGTCTATGGTTCAACCGAATTTCGGACAAAAGAAGACAAGTTACCCGTGGATAAACGACGGATTTTTCTTTCGCCCAAACGATTTCAAAAAAATGTTGGCTTATTGTTGCACTGAGCCCTTCGATTGCAGGGCCTAAAATTGCACATCGCGTGTATTCAGTGTGTTTAACGGCGGAAAAAAATTAGAGGTAAGCGATTTTGGGGGCCATTAATTGTTTCAAGTGTCCCTATTTTTTAACAACTTGACTTTTTTTTGTTATTGTATCTATAAAATGTGTCGAAATATACGTGTGTATACAAAATGGTATACGTTACCCGCAGCAGATGTCATATGACCCGACCAACATTTGTAAAAATTTGTGTCGTGGTACTTTGAATTTAGGTATTCATTTTCACGGTTCAAAACAAAAAACAATAATAGGTACCTTATTTCCCGGCGTCTTGTACGGATTCAATAAAGTAGCTTAGAATACGAAAAACAGTAATCTCCGCGGGTAACATGAATAATTTCAAAGTTTCAAAATTAAATCTTTAAGACTATAACAATACTATAACAATTGGCAGCGAGTTCAATTTTAACATTATTAATTTTCTCGAAACTGTGCGATATTGTAATAATAATAACTACGATGCAGAGGTTGAAAACCTATTCAATAAAATATTACGAACGTCTGTACCAGCCGACTTATAAATGCGTGTTTTACTCGTGTATATACATTTTAGGGGTCCGGATTTAAATGCGCTTTATCCTTTGTAAAACACAATACAAATGGAAATATTCGATATTGAAATTTCACATTTGAATGCACGAACCTAAATGTAATTTTACACGTGAACCGACCATTATCAGATATACACATAAGCGCGGGTAAATACCTCATTGGTATACGTTGTCCTTGAGAACAGTCGAACAAAAATTAATTTTGCATAAAGAAATACGTTATAAATTTATAACAAATACATCAAATTACATTATGTATTCGCAATCGAACATTATCTATATGGAATATGGTTATAGATTACGCATAGTCATGGGCACCCGCAGAAAATTTGTCAAGTCCAAAAGGGGCAGATGTCTTGTTTTTCCGCCCTCTCCCCCCCGAACGCCCGTTCACATAGTGACGTGTTTAGCATTATTTTTTTCTAGGGGTTCTACTACTCGGTGAATATAAACAATTTCGTTCACAGACTTGTGGGGGCTGTTTGATTCTTTGTTTCTGGGTATTGGATTATAACGAATGTTCAAACGATCGAATAAATAAAGAACACATTAAATAGTAAACCAAATACAAAAGACATCGGTGTTGACACACGAGAGAGTGCAGACTGCGAGACTTTCTACACAATTGACGTTAGTAATAAAATGAATAAAAACCAGCAGCAAACATTTTATCAACTAAACATATTATTATCACATATTATCACTTGCATACACAGGGACTATGGCCGGAGTCCCGGCGTGTGACGTATGTATTTTAGCACAATCTCAGTTTCGATAAAATAACTTTTATTTTTTTTTCAAATTAACAAAATAGCTAATAATTTAATTTTCAGATAGGTAATAAAACGCAAGACATGACAAATACGCCACTGCGGGTTACATTATATTATAGGTACGTATATTATTATACCGATAAACCGATGTAGGCCGACAACGATTATGATGGTGATATCAAAACGGATGGAAAAGTTAAATAGGAAAATAAACTATCGAAAAATAATAAAGACAATCCGCAACCGACGACGCGTGGCAGTTCAGTAGAAATATTCATTCCCCATTAATATCGCTTTACAATAGCGCCGAACACGAAGTTTAGATACATTATTATATGGTCATTGGTCAAGACCGGACCATATTTTTGGGGCGATGCCGCGATAATGATTGAAACTGTTCACGGATAGAATTCCTCTCGTGATTATTTAAACTCGTATTGGTCGTGTTCTTTTAGTACTAAATAGTATGCAATCACGATTTTCATGCGCCAGGGATATGATAGTATATAGGACACGAAATAAAAAAAAAAAAAACGATTAAAAGGGGTTGACGGTGATTTTAAGTGCTACGATTCCCGAACCACGCTATAATGAGTACTTATACCTAATGACACTGTTGACAATAGACCATTAATTCAAAACTGATTCGGCGCCACTGTCACTTCCTATAATATATAGGTACCGAAGTTATAACTATAATATATTTATATATATATAGATAACCTCATTGTGTACTTATGTTAAACATAGTCGTAAATTATTATACGAACTTTGCATTTTAGTCTACACATTTATTATGAGTAAATAATACGTATATTATTGGTATTTATTGGTTAACCGAAAAAAACAATTAGTCTAGATTTTCAAATGGCACCTATGTAGAATTTTTCTTCTCTACGCCTATAATATGTACGGAGTTGATTTATATACTGACTTATATTATTAAACGATCGCATCACGTGTTACTATTATTATTATGCAACACGTGTATGATATACCTATAGTATAGTGAAATCTTTATTATATATTTACACACCTGTCACAATATAACGAAAAATCTCTCTATATATAATGGACAATTTTTTTTTTTTTAAGCCCGGCACACAAGAATATATAATAATATATTATATTACACTTATATTCTCGTACATTTTACGCTCTCCCAATATATATCATAAAACCCCTCTAAAACGGACGGTTTTAAATACCTGCGCATATATTTCTACGTGCGTTCGTATTGTGTATATTATTATAAAAAAGATTTCACTCTACACTTGAATCGGTTTCTAAGCGTCATTTAATTCTTCTCAGTAATAATATATTCACGATGGATCCCGTACAGCGACATCGTCAAATGCCACCCAAATGCATATGATAACTGTTTACACGCATAAACAGGGCGAATCTTTTATCCGTGATCCGTCATTACCGTTACGATAACATTATTTTGATCAATATTATATTTTATTATTTTTTCGTGATAAAACAATCGCCATAAGAATAACAATAAAATTTGGACCAGGAGCGGATTTAAGGGGGGCGATGAGGGTAGTCTTCTATCCCGACAGGCTTAACTCGGGTTTTATTTTTAAAATAGAAAGTATGCTTTATCCGTAATTATCATTAAGTATAAGTTAAATACCGTAGTCGGATCGTCAGGGAAAATTATTGATTATTTTGTAATTAGAGGTTTTTTTTTTTTAAATTGGTTTTCCGTTTGACGAACGTGTCTTTTCACATCGATATCGATAAAGGTAATTTTAGTAGGCGTGTTACGTGTAATTATCATAGACAAATATGTATCTAATAGAAATAATAAAGTTAATAAAATAAGATAATAAAATTGAACGATTTGAAAAAGTTGAGAAAAAAAACATAATATAAGACTTTATTTTCCGATGAAATATTTATACCTGTTCAATATGTCTTAATGCAAATAACGTGTTGAACAATATGATTTTAGAAACAAAGTACATAAAAAAGTAATAATTTACTTTTGAACAAAATCTGTTTGAATATTGACGGTATAAAATACATATTCCAAGAATACATTTGTGGACGTTGGATATAAAACACCAAATAATTATCGAAATGTTTGAACCTCAATTCAATCCCTTTTCCCCCTTCTCGGCGAGTGATAAAAACCGCTCTTAATGGTTTGAATACGAAATCGAGTTTTAAAAAAAAAACGTTGAATTTAACGACTCGCTGATTTGAGATTACATTCATGTGTTCTATAATATAATATGTTAACCGTATATTTTTTAAACTTGTCCATGTTATAATCGTATCTCTACAGCTATACCTATTTTCAGATAATTTTCATTGATACGGTCTACAATTATGCGTATAGCTGAGAACCGTATAAGATGTGTAATAAAATGATTGCACAGCGTCTTTGAGTTTCATTCGATTTTCTAAGACGTAATAATTTAATTTTTCCCTTTAAAACTCATTACGTATAACTAATGTAAAAATATGTTCACGCAGATTGATTAAATACATACATACATATTTCGAGTCCTTCTACGTCCTTTGCACGCCTGTCGATAAACCCAAGACCTCGGATATATTTTAATTACATTAATAGTCCTTAATAATTCGCGCGCATTTTCTTAGTGATGATAACTACTTAAGTGCTAATATGAATATGTACATAACCGGAGTATTTTGCACGTACACATTAAATCATATTATAATGTCGTATCACTTACGGAATATTTCGAAAAAACGTGCCATCCTATTTTTCGTTTTCTGTTGCATATTGTCACGGTCGTCCTTTGAAACGGCTTCCTCGATGTTGTCGAAATTCCCCGCTGCTGCAGCGACGGTATCTTCCGATGTCAGGGTCTCTGAATTATCACAAAAGTCAATAACAATAATGTTTATTATATCGTCCGTACAACGAACGAAATCCATGGGTTTCATGTAATAAAACCAGACGGCTCCATTTTTTGGCGAAATTCGTGTTTTGCAGATTATTTAGACAATATTATTATTCTCGCGGTTTATCTGTGCGAAAAAGCTTTTTCGCACAGATAAATCGCGAGACCATATTCGAAATAATTCTGCGAGTCGAAATAACAAGACAACATCTCGCATCTCGAAGAAACACGGTAACAATTAAATCGAGTGAAACTTTTATTCTTTTATCCCGGTCTAATTTGTATGTAGGTATAGTTATAAATAGATTTCAGGGCTATTGCAATTTAAAACCGTGAAAAAAGCACATAAAATGAGTTAAAAAAGCACTTAAGCAAACATGGTAGAACGAATGATTAACACAAATAGTAATTTTTTTTTATGTTTATAAAATTGTGTCCTTCAAACATTTTCGCTATTTTAAATATTTTTGCAGTGCATTTTTCGCGGATTTCTTTTTGTAGATTTCGCAATAAGTCTTATTGTGAGTATATTTTTAACAACTTATAAATTAATATTATTATTTTTTTTTTTATTACGAACGTGATAATTTTCAAAACATTTTGTTTCCCCCGAAAAGGTCTGGAGCCGTCCGGTTATCATGTGAAAAACTTTCGATTAAACGAGAGGGTGGAGGTGTGTGTGTGTGTGAGGGGGTCAATTCCGTTATTATTGTATTGATTTACTGTTCGCTAATCGCAGTGCAGTTTTCGGCGGCTGGTTAATCGCCACAGAACGGCAACTGCTGACGATACAATTAACGACGACGGCCACCAGAGTCACAGCTACGATGGTGTGCATGACGACGATTTCGGTATCATCAAAATAACGGGCCTGTCGAAACATTTTAAACGGTTTTCGATTATTATAGCGCATCAATTATGTACATACATAGACGTTATAAAGGCAAAGTGCACACTTTTGTATATATATATTTTTTTTAAATTGTAAAAAGTTCGGATTAACTGTTCAACGTTGGATTTTGAAATGTACGTATAGTAAACATAATTTTAAATTGTATGTTTGAAACACATATACAATTATATAACAGAAATACCTATACTAAGTACTATGTTATTATTGTGTCTAAAGTGACTTTTAAGGGTTTTTTTTTTTTTATCCTCGTACCCTTAAAGCGAACAAAAACACAAATAAAATCGCGTTATATAAAACGCACGTAACACATACACGGTTACTGGTGCAGCGCTACCTGAAATAATTATACCGGGCTATATTATCAAAAGAAAATAACACGTCTATAATAGGTTTTATTATAATTATTATCGCGGAAGAGTATATACCTATACCGTACGGTTGTTGCGATGTAATTCGTAACGACAAAGCGATAATTACCGAAGAATCATGAGGAAAAATAAAAAAATACGAATATGGAAATGTAACAAGAAAGTCGACCGCGTAAATGGCGGATCGACTTTACCATTCCATACACAGCGATTACTGTATATTATTACGGATATTTTGTATTATACGTGTGCTCGTAAAAAAAAAAAAAATAAAATAAAAAAAAAAAGTATCTACATAGCATTATATCCGCGGTATACATATTATATAGGAAACGTATCATCGCGACAAGAAAAACTATACATTTCCTATATTAGTCACTATAATATATTATTATATCGCTGTATTGTAATGATATTATACACAATAGTGTACATACCATCATTTTGTTATTAGCTATATAATAGTATAATTAATATGTTACATTACTGATATAATATTGTGATATCAATATATTTTTACATTAGCGCACATTTTTTTTATTCTATAAGACTATTAATTTTATTACCTAGAGATTAATTCAATTTATATTCGATACAATTAATATTTAAGATAATACAGTGTGTCCCACTATGTTCGATGGATTTTTCTAGCGCCATTAACATTAAATTTATTTCGATTTTTTTTCATTCGGTTTGTCTTCAAAGGGGACATCGATTTGGAGAAAAATTAAATTTTTATTTTCATCTCCTAAAGACCAAAAACAAATAAATTTTTATTTATTCACTTTAGACAATTTTCAAAATAGCCATTTTATAAAAAATATTGTTCAAACAATTTTAATGTACCACACATTCATATCCGATGAATAATTTCTTAGTTATAGTCGTTTAATTGGTCGTAAAAATAATTAATATTCAATAAAATAACACGTTATGTGATAAGGAATTACAATCCACACGGTAATTTTTTACCTTCTATTGAATATTAATTGTTTTCACGCCTATTTTCTAGAAATTAAAACGGCTATAATTAAGAAACTATTAATCGATGTATTAATCAATTAAACAATTAACCATTGTATGATACATAAAAAATTGTATAATAATATTTTTTACAAAATAGCTATTTTGAAAATTTTACTAAAGTGATTAAATAAAAAGTTATTATTTTTTTTTTTTTTGTATTTAGGGGATGAAGATAAAAATTTAATTTTTCTCCAAATCGATGTCCCCCTCGAAGACAAAAAGATTGTAAAATAAATTTAATATTAACAGCGCTAGAAAAATCCGTCGAACATGATGGGACACACTGTATATGATATTAACGACCGGACGAAAACACACACATACACTCTCCCCTATAATTATTATTTATTTCCAATTATCATAGGAAGTAGTAAATGAAATAATTAAGTATCATTTTCATTTAATACAATATTATAATATATAGGCGTGTATTTTATTATAATCACTACACTAATTATCCGATTAATTGACGATTAGCGTGTCGGTTGTTTTTTTTTAACAGTTCTCCGATAAAATATATACGCGTGTATATATTTGATCCGGCGGGTAAGAACGGTTCAAGTAGATTATTCTAATATTGGGATTTCAATACACGCGAGCGAATCAAAAGATGGAAATACATATAGGTACTCAATTTAGACGGAAAAATTACGATTAGATGAAATTATTTTTGAAAAAATGCAGAAAATCGACTTGATAAGCCTCGGCCGGGACCGAAGATATTGCGGCTAAAGATTAATCTATAGTAATACAACCCAAATATAATCTATATCGTGTTTGGTAAAAGTCAAATTTGTTATCATATAGTTTTCAATGCGCGAGAAAATTGTAATTTTTAAAATCGCTAAACGGTACAACTCGAATGACCGTTCTGAATGGTTTATCAACTGTATAGGTAATCATATAATTATACGTTATTAATATATGACTTGTGTATTTTATGCCCACTAAAAAATACACGTCGTATCTAACTCTAATGACTCATCAAAAATCCTGCGTCATTTAGACCGAAAAATAAAGGGGAAAACAATTACGCGAGACAAAATTAACAAAAAAAAAAAATGACTTAACCCTTATTTTCTGCGGGACCGCAGAATATTTCAAGTGTATTCGGTCGAATTTTGAAGAGAGGTCAAATATTGTTCTACTGCGATAAAAGTCAGTATAATAATAATATATACGTACGCGAGTATACCTGTATAACATGTATAATTGTCACCGTTCTGTTAGTTGAAATATTCGCGATGCGATCGAAAGAACATAAAAAACAAAACAAAAAAAAAACCAAAAATCCTCGTTTATATAATTTATAGTTTCCGCGAAAACAACGCACGCGGGATGAATCAGACCGTATAATTTCATATAGAAATATTCAACGAAACATACGCTGACGACCCGGTATAGAGAAAAAAAAACAGTATAATATACAATATTATATTATAATTCTAACACAACTCGAGTAAATCGTTGTCGTGTCGGTATTGTACATATTATTGTGATGAGGACGATGTAACATATTATTATTGTTCGCGGTAAACAATGTGTAAAAAAAAAAAAAAAAATTACTATAATTTTCGAATATTATTTATTGTAACGACTTACCCGATTTTTCTCTTTTTTTTTCTTTTTTTAATTACAGTATATTTGTACTTATATTATAATATATAGTGGTATAACGGCGAATAAAATATATTGCGTTTTTTCAAATCGATCTGCACGTCGTCATGTTTGTAATACTATCGACGTGGTGGCCGTGAAACGAGAATGATTATAATATTAACATGATAATTTGATAATGGCGTGATAATTTTATAACGAACGATAAAACATATATTATTCAGTAACTGTTTGCCAGTGTATTTTATTAGTATTGTTATTACTGAAAAAAAAAAAAAATTGACCGGTATTGAAATGCGTTTTTAGAAGAAAAAAAACCCCGACGGTGACTTTTTAACGTTTGTGCGATCTCTCCCTAGGAATGATTATCATAAGAAATAATTATTCGACGACAACGTCCGCGAAGACGTGCCCGCGTATAAGCTACACGGGTGTACTGCTGCAGCACGCGTTTTACCGCCTGTTCATATGTTCACTGGGGAGCTGCCGCCGCCACTTGTGACCGTTGCCGGGTGAAAGTGATGCTGTGGCGATACCTCAAACAAAATCGGATGTCTGCAGTATACCTTAAGAATAATGCGTTCAACGCACGGCATTTCTCCTTTGGCTTTGTCATGCTCGGAGGAAAATATTTTCTATCAACGATTATAACAATAACAATAATAATATAATACACGCTCGTATAGTAATAATAAATACGTATAGTAGTAATAAGGTATCCAGTGGTGGCGGCGGCGGCGTTGCAACCGTACATACCTGTACGTGTAGTTCCCGTGCACAGCGGTGGATCCAATATTTTTTTAAAGGGGGGGTACACATTTATATACTTATATTTTCAGTAATTTAAATTTTAGTAATTAATATAAAACATATAAATTTAAAACTGTAGTCAATGAGAGAAGGCACGTGTTCCTGTGCCCCCCCACTGTATCCGCCATAGGCTGTGCACGTGTACGGGTGGCACACGTTAAAAATATTATATAAGTCGTAACTCCTTCCTCCCCATGCGTCCACACATCCTCTCACCTCGCACGTCGCCGATTGAAAATAAACAACAACAATTAATATCGTTCCATATTAAATATGGAATCCCTTAAATAAGGGATACATTTTATCTATTTATTACGAACGCCGAAGATATAATATTACATTGGTATACACAGTGGCGTATCCAGAATTTTTTTAAAATAGCTGGTTACATTTCTTCAAATAATATAGCTGCATCATGGCGATCGATCCATCGAGATGCACATAGTTTTTTAGTAATTTTAGATAACCGAAAGCGATAACAGATAATCATAGAGCTACCTATTATTATAGTATATACACTACACTGGACTCGACTTGTGTATTATTAATTTGTATTATTTGTGTAAACTGTTAAGTGTAATAACACTTTATCCTTTTTTCAAACTATCTATTAGTATTTTTTTTTTTTTTATTTCGAAGACATTTCGGGAGGGGGGTCATAATTCTCAAATCCTCCCTGGATACGTCACTGGTTATACACCCGTACTAACATTTTAACAGTACTATATTATATAGATAGGACTTCTGCGGCAAACAATAGTTACTTAGATGTAACATGTCATTTTTTAGATAATTGGAAATTATGAAATAGAATTTTGGAAACAGTTGAGGTATCGGAATCGCATACTTCGGAAAATATTACCAATAATTTAAAATCTGTAATACGAAATTGGCAAATTGAACAAAAAGTGTGTATACATTCTATTCAATTATTTGTGAACGCTGGCTCCAAAATGATTTAGTAAAAACATTAACAAACATGTTAACAGCAATTGTTGGTCATTTTAATCGAAGTTCGTCAGTACAACATGAATTAGATAAGGAACAAGAAAAATGTATGAAAGATAAAAGTAAGCTAATCCAAGACTATAACCAGGTGGAATTCTACGTGTTTAATAATTAAAAGTATTTTACGACATCGAGTTTCAA